GGTGAAGTATGGTGTACAAGTGTGATGAAGTCCGTGAAGTTCATATGAAGTTTTGGTGAAGTCCATGAAATATTGGTGAAGTTCGTGAAGTATTGTTGAAGTGCGTGAAGTACTGATGAAGTCCGTGAAGTATTGATGAAGTCCGTGAAGTATTGGTGAAGTTAGTGAAGTTTAAGCGAACTATTGGAAAAATGCATGAGGTTGTGGCGAAGTTTATATTCAAATCCCTTAACAAAAATCGTACGGTAGTTCAATTCACGGTTGTAACCACTAAAATTCGAGGTAAAATTAAATAAATTTCTGCGAAATAAAACTGAAAGTATAGATTAAAAAATCTATGCTGAAAGGTAAGTTTTTTATCCGCAAAAGTATGGCATTTATTTATGAAAGACTAACTATGCCCATTTCTACAAAACAAAAGGACAGTTACACAGGCGACAGACGCCCTGATGAGACAGCGGACTCATAGACGTACTGATAGTCCTTGCGTCGTATTTATGTGTAGGTACAAAGATCGTAAATTGTTTCCTTTTAAAAATTTAATAAATCCTTTCCTTTATTACCATCAGGTTCAGGTAGCTAAATAACACTTCGATAACACTTTTATTAGGTATATTAAAATAAAATCGACAGACGGAAAATTTGTCACGTGGATAGCGGCTTTTGTTTTCTTTAAAATTTCAGCACCCTCCACAAATTAGTACATCAGCCCCTTCCAAATCAAGTTTCTGGCCACGCCATTGAGTTATTTACGACTATAATGTCAATCCTGAGCTCAATACTATCCCACAAACAACACTATTAGCATAATTCTTGAAAATAATCCCCTAAAAATGCAACCTGTTGTAAAAGGATTAAGAGTTGCTTATTGGGTTCAGCCTGGTAATATGTTACAATACCTTTTACAAGACCTAAGCAATATTTTCCCGCTTATTTGGTTTGTTTAAATGAAATTTTTAAAAGAAGAATTGGACACCTTTATATGGTATAAAGAGCCAGATATCCAATCTGTTAATAAAACATATATTTTAACAGGACCCATAACATTCATAGGAAGTGAACCATTTAGTATAACTGCATAGGTATAACAGAAATTTGATAAGAAAAGCTTATAAAATCACAACTCCTGTGCAGATAAAGATAAAGGGCCATTTTTTAAACCGAAATAGCTTAGTAAATGGTTGGGTTAGAAGGTAGTAGCATGTTATCGATATTTACTTTCTTAGTAGATGATTGATGGGAGGACATTGAAAATCCTCCGACACCCCCGATTGATTTTGCCTTTGAAAGTACTTTCCTCCGATTAACCGTTTTCGAGATAATCGCTCAATGGATATATTTCTTTAAGATGTCCCAATCGCCCTTTGTGAGTACTCTTCCAACAATCTGTTGTGGAGATATAAGGGGATATATCCAATCACGGTAAGGGATCGAAGAAGAGGACTATGGTTGGTAGAAATTAATTCCTTTCGTTGAGACCTTTAATTAGAATATCATGAAAGATAAAATACGCCCCCCCCCCGCGCCATGAACTGAACTTGAAAAAGAGTCGCGCGGTAACGTTATAGTTTGTGCAAACCAATTTATTTCGATGAGACCATGAAAGGTGGAACGGGTGTTTACCCCCGTCCCCCCTCCCCATTTTCAAAATTTTTACTGCACCACTAAAGCCATGCGCCAATTGATTGCCGTATGTAAAAGTAATGCACGTTTTACTTTTACTTTCAAAAACAGCATCTCAGGAAATAATTGATGGAGGCCACCTCCCTTAAGACAGCGAAATTTGATTGCCGTGTGGCACACCTTCAAGGTGTAGGCTACATATTGCAAAAAATTCCAGGACTCTAGGACCATTCCCCTAAAAGTAGTTCAAAACCGCAGAAGTGGGTCCGACAGACGGGCAAAACTCAAACAAAAGCAAATTTTTTTTTAATTTCTTAAAAAAAATTGATTCATTTCAATCTCGTCTATGTACTTACCTCTATGTATAAACAAAGTATGTTTTTATTTTACTTTATATTACCGTTTCGTTTTTGTTATGCCTCTATTATCATTTATATCAATACATTCTACATCTTTTACTGCTTTGAGTGCTTTGTTTTAATTGCAAGAACTCTAGAAAAAAGGATGGGATTTTGTCCAGTGCAAAATATCAGTGAAATTCATAAAGTATCAGTGAAGTCCGTGAAGTTTTTGGTGGAATATATGAAGTGTCGGTGAAGTCCGTGAAGTATTGATGAAGTGCGTGAAGTACTGATGAAGTCCATGAAGTATTGGTGAAATACGTGAAGTATGAAGTTTGGTGTACACGATTTGCCTAGCGATTTACCCCTCGCTGGGCGTCCTATTAAACAAAAACCTGACATAAAAGATGCGGAAAAGCGTCGAGGAGTTACACAGCGATAAATTGCATACTACCAAATACTGGAGGAGCAAGGTATCCAAAAATCCAAATGGAATCAATGCGTAGGATCTAAACTAATTCCAACTCAATCTTTAGATAATTAAATCCGTCCATAATGGCGGAGTGTTAATCAAGGCAACCATTAATTAATTTTCATTGGTTAAAGCTGTGTTTTCAACCAATCCCGAACGGCTTTAAGGCTGTTAACCAATCCCATTTCTTTTCCAGAACAATTTCACTCAAGAGTTTCCATGGTGAATTTATCTTTATAATAAACTAAGGCTATTTGATCGAGCACGCAGACGCTCTACTGACAAACAAAAAAAAAGACTACCTAGCTAAACAATTTTGTCTAGTTTTGTTAATAATTTAAGTATTGTAAAAACTACAAAACAATTGAAGACACATTTTGACAGTAATGGCACTTCACAAATGACAAACAGTGATACTTACCCCAGTTCCGTAAAATGTAAATCATGATGCCCAATGACTATAGGTAAAATATTGATAACTTCCGAAACAAAATTTAAAGAATCTTCTTCAGTCCACCCGTCATTTGTGTAGCTGAACAACCCGATCACCCATAAACTAATACTGGACGCATTTTTTATCAAGTCACTTAACGGCACCTGACTGATATCGCCCAATTTGGCCAAAAATTCGATACCCAACAATATTTGCTTACAGCTTCCATTAAAATATGTAACTAATCCGTTCCATAACTGCAAGGAAGACTCGACCACGTCTTGTAATACGTCTCGTGAAAATTGTTTACGATTATGCCGTATATAGCGCAGAATCTCGAAGACGTATGTAAATAAAGACTCGTTTATGTTCGTTTGAGACATTTCGCTGAGAAATACAGCGTAATTGTTCACAAGATATTTAAGTAACGAGTCTTTAAATTTTTCAAAAAAGTAATACCCGTACTTAATCTCCTTCTGTTGATCGGTAATAATCATAGTCTCAACACATAACAGCTGGCACATCTTGACAAACTCATCTTTATTGTCCAAAGCGAACTGCAACTTCAGATGACAGTACTCGGTGGCGCTTTTGTGCAGATCTTTGGCATAAATTTTGCCATCTCTATGCACGATTAATTCGTCGTGAATGTTTTGAAGTATACCCGAACTGTAAGAGTCCACATTCAATTTGTCCTTCATCCGAGTACCTTTAATGGTCATAAGTCCCTTAATTAACTGCCTTTCTTTAAAGGGTACAATGCCGGACCCAAGCTTGTTCGTGATGTTAAATTTATTGACATGACTCTGAAAGCCCGTTTGTAAACACGAAATAACATTCTCAGGGGCGTGGTCGCTGAGGTTATTCAAAAAAATCGAAACGTCTTCAGAATTTTCCATCTGATCAAATCCGAGTACAACCGGATCGAAAATCCGAAGACAAACTAAATTCCACAAACTGTGTTCGGGCAAGAAATTCACTCCAATGGCAAAAGGTTCCGCACGACTTTTAAAAATGGTCACAATCAAGTCCATCAACTTTGTCACAATTAAGGATTTGCAGTGGTTAAAATATTTCCTTTCTTCAGCCGTGTAGATGCTATTGGAACAGTTCAACCTCACAACTTCTCCAATATTTTTTTCCAAGACATGATCGAGAAAAAAGTCCACCGATGTAAATAGCGGAGCGGCGTCTTTTGGCATGAGATTGTTGGCCAAAAGGAAAATGTAACCGTCGAGACAACACAAAAGACCGTGACACCATTTAAATATTCCATCAGTCGTATTTGAACTGCCTAAGTGGTTTATCGTTGGGTACTTCATTAGTTCGGTCTCGTACGTCGAATTAATCCACTCGGTACCAGTAATGTACAATTCTTTGAACCTGTTCAAGCTGTTATGGCAGCCGGTTGATAATGGGGCAATTTTACAAAACATATCCATACATTTCTTTCGACAGTTGATGTTGATATTGCCGGTTTCTTTTAAAAGCCACATGGCGACGTCCTTCAATAGAATGCCATCCATAACCGGAGGTTTCCTTCTCGTGTTGGAATTCGCGTTGAACAGCGCGCTTTTTTCAACAAATCCTCTTTGTACATGATTTAACGCGATCAATACTTGTTCGACACAATTGTTATCATCCGCATTACGTATTTGCGTTAGCGATAAGTTGGTAACAAAAGCTTCCAGTATTTCCAACCAAAACATGTTAAACATCTCCTTTTCTTCTCTTAAATCCGTGTAGATATGGTTAAATATCAGCGCCGCGCCCAATCTTTTAAATGGATCGGGATGAGCACTTAAAGATTGGATATTTCGGATCCAAATTTTGATATTGATCGGATTTCGTTCCAAATCCCTCGTTTTCGCTTGCTTGATTGTCCATTTAATAAATTCTTGAATACACTTCCCAGATAAGTCTCGTAAGGCGGAATCGGACGGATTGGTAATGGATTCCTAAAATGACATAATTGATGTTATAATCAAAACAATTGAACATATATAAATTGAAAGCTTCCCCAAATTTAATTAAATTCTATTAACATATACTGCTATGTCCAAAGGCAAACAGTTCTAAACCACACACAAGCACCAGTCGATTAAACACAAGTAGGTACTAACAAAATCGTTTGTACGAAATGATTATAATTTATTGTTGCGCTTTCCTGCATTTGTTTTCCCGTAGATACCGCTAACTAATTTGTGTTTTGTTGCTTTCATTCCCGCTAGTCTCGCGTAATTTTGTTTTAGTTTTTCCGAAGTGACCGCCGTCGTTTACTCTGATTAAGTTTTCCCGAGGCTTCAGAGACCGTCCCGCAGACCTTGATCAGAAACAAGGCCGTAGACCTTGGTAGACCTGGAGCTGCAGGATGTGCTGTTGTAATTACTCTCAGGTGTTCGACAATCTTCCATCCCCACTTCAGCGGGTTCTTCTTCTCATTCAGCTACTGCTACACCTGATGGTAGGTTCTAAATGAATGTTCTGCCTGGTAGATGCTGAAGTGGGGAGAAGGGGGGCCAACTTGAACAGTGAATGTATAGGATGCTTTGAAGTAGCCTGCAAGTATCACTGGTAACGAAAACAATCCAGATCTTCAGTGTTTTTGACTTCAAACATAATTTCATTTTTCCGGAAAATCGAAAAAATACGAAAAATGTCTACTTTTCCACCCTTCGTAACTCGTTACGGAATCATTCACTTTAGCAAGATTATACACAAGACCATTTTTGTTCGCAAGATAATGTAGAATACTTTTGTACATGGCACTTCTCGCGCTAAATCCCACAGTGTTCTAAATATCTAAGAAAAACTGATAAAAACTCCTAATTTACCAACTTTCCTCCCCCCTCCCATCCAAACCCGACGCTTCAAATGGTGTAACTTTTTACCAAACAGTATGTGGACTGTATAGAACAATTTGCAGTTTTGCACTTTGGATGTTGAGGTTAAGCCGTTTTTTCGACTAATTGCACCGTACTATAATGCTTACCTATTTTTTTTATGCCATTTGTGGGCGGACTTACTACCGAAGTTCGTCGCACTTTAGCGAGTACTGAGAAGGACTACACATAAGTGATACCTATTTAATAAACACAACACTCTAGCCAGGACTCTAGCTAAACTTCGTCGTAAACGGAAAAAAACACGCTTCCACTTAACTCGATTTAAAACGTTTACTTTTAATTAAGTACGGGATAAACTCACTTTCGCCAACTTCTAGAAACCTTTACAACTGTAAAGACGGACTGTCTGCCAATAAATGCGGTAAAACTGCACAAGACAATAAGCGGCTACCAAAAAGCAACGTCCACCACCAAATAAGCCGCGATTCATGTCTTTCTCTGCTATTTGCAACATTCTTTCCTCTCAGTTTCCGCCGAATTTGCGTCTTCGAAATTAAACACGTGTTTTCTTATCGGATAAACCTTCAAACTAATTAGCTTACGCGGCGATAACACATTTCTTATCGCAACGACCGGATTTAAATGAGATAACAAATTTTTATTTCCAAATGACGGACAGACAGAAGCTCTAAGTCAGACGCCAAATGCTCTCTTGTCAGGGAAGAAGTGAGTCAATTAATATTTTAAGATTTCAGCACCGTTAATTAATTATTAAGCATTTTAGATTTCCATAATAAGCGAAAACCAAGATAGAAACGAGTTCCAAATGGAGTTGTTTACACGTTATCAGTCTTGCAGACATGCCGGGGTGTAGATAGCGACAACAGTTGTTGCGTCGGGAAATTACAATCAGGCCTAGTGGTTAATTGGATTAATGCGTATTGAAGTTTGAATTCGCTTAATTGTAGAAAAGAACTGCAGATAGCGTTCAAAGTGATCTCACTTAAAAAACGAGAAGTCCGATGTCCATCTTATATTTTTCCGATAATTGCAGGCCGGGTAATTAATTAAAAACCGAATTAATTTCGAAGTGAATAGCTCTAGGAATAGCTCGACGATATTTCCATGTTCCGCTTCCATTAAATTCGGTTTTCTTTATAAGGTGCGCACTTGATTTTGTGGATATATTTTGCCATTTTGTGTGCCATAAATTATATCGTTTCTTCTTCTGCATTTTGTAATTGTATCAAAATTTTAAATTTGCTTTTGCCACCGTAATGTATTGCCTTAGTTTTAAATACCGTAGTATTAATTTCGATCGTGCCTGAAAATTCTTTTTTTTTCATCCGTATTGTTTTGTTTTGTTTGAACATTGAATTGCCCGATTTGTTAGATTTTGGCAGTTTTTCTACCGCTTCGTGAGCTACGTTCTCCTAATTATGAAGGGGGGGGGGGGGGGGGATTACTCGCTTTCCTCCACCCACTCAACCGTTGTGCGCGAGCCCAAAGTTCGTCGCAATTGTTTGGATTATAAAAAAAACTCTAAGTAAGTTAATATTTATTATATTCTTTGTCGCCCGCGTACGTGCGGGGTAATAACGGGCGATCTTTTTGATCGCAAACTCATTCAAGTTAAGTACGATTTGCCATGTAAACAAAAATTCCAAAGTACTTACCTCCTTTACTAACCTGCGGGTGGTAAAAATCAATTTTTTTTTCTTTCAAGAATTTTTTTAAATTTTTTTTTTCATTGTCCATTACCTATACCAGTAGTACCGTTTTTTAAGCAATAGAATTATGTCTGATAAGACTAAATCATAATAAATCATGGAGTAGTCCTAGAAGAAGCACCTTGAAAAAAACACCAATGTGTGCATATTGTGGTATTAATTTACGTAGTCTAATTTTTGCTTATAGCCGCATTGTAATTTGTTTATTTAATTGTAAAGAAATAACATGTTATAAGATAAGAAATATCTCGAAATTATTTGCGTAATGTTTAAATAGTTTATCTCATGTTTTTCTCCGATCGTGGATAAGCGTTGCGCTTATCGCTAAAATTAATTAATTTTGTAAACAGATATTATCGCAGGTGCGCGCTTTAGATAAGAGCATTTTTGCAGGTCCCACAAGCTAGCAGAGCCATTTTAGAAAAATGAAGGTCGAAATACATCAGAATTATAGGCAGATTATAGGACCTTTTTGGACACTTGAACAAATTTTCAGGCGGCAACCTTTAAAGAAAAAAACTATGGCTCTGCTGGCTAAAGACGAAGCTAGCTGACCACTTGTGAGATTTGCTTCGAAGGCGAAAAATTCAGATCACAAAATTATAGGCTTTTTTTAGACACTACAACAAATTTTCAGGCGACGCCCTTTAAACAAAAAAAACTATCATCCAGATCAGTTTGATTTTGCCCCTCTCGGAGATGTAGTGGATAAATAAAAATTTATTTATTGTCTATTTATTGTCCCTCTCTTGTTCTGGGCCCTCAACGGGCTTTCGCCCAATTAATATATTTATTTAAACTCTAACTTATATTTCAAAAATCCGATACAACTGAATACCAAACAATCCTCGAGATCTTCACACATACATCATTTTTACAATACACCCTAAGGCAGGGGTGCTCACACTTGAACTGCTGACGATCTACCTGAATGTTGTTAGACTCCGATCGATCGACTCTGAGAGGATGCAAGTATGTGTGAAGCAGGATTGTTGTCTACATAGGTATGGCGTATCGTGGCGCAATTTGCAGAATTTCATGAAAATACTGTACATAGAATTAGTTAATTAGTGGAAACGGCAGAATTTAGTTTTCCGCAAAATCAATTTTCTTTAAGTCAAGGTAGGTGTAGATCTACTCTGCAAATCGCAAATGTTTCTCGAGATCGACTCAAAAAGTACTCGAGATCGGCCGGTCGGTCGCGATCGACCGTTTGAGCACCACTGCCCTAAGGGGTTGATTCTGTCCCACCTGATCTGATAGCTTGTAACACACATTTTTTGAAATGGCATTAGTTTTACTTTTATTTGAGGTGCCTGCATACAACATTTCATTTAAATACCTTAACAAATAAAAGAAATCCGACTGCGCATGCGCAAAACAAATTTTTTGATTTGGCATTAGTTTCACTTTTATTGGAGGTGCCTAGATACAGAATTTCATTTAAATATATTAACAAAAAAAAATTAGAATTGCGCAAATACAAAAGTTGTTATGCGCATGTGCAGTATTTGTTTGCATTTGCATAGTTGCCTGAAGTTTAAGGAATATTTACTAACACAGAAAACCGGACATTCATATGTTCTTTGTAACAAGAGTTAGAAACCCTTTTTGGAGGTTTGCGCAGTTTTTGGTCTGTAACTATTTGGCCCGTTGTTCTACGTAGCCGAAAAACAATTGTGAACTTTGTTATATCCTGAAAAACATGTGTATATCAATTTTTAAAGCGATCGGACGTTTCTACACAAAGTTATCGTACACCCTGACAGACAGACAGACGCACAGGCAGGCAGCAATACAAAATTATAAACGATCTCGAGGTTCGCTAATAATATAAAGAGATGAATAATTTTAATTTTTTTCTGTACTTCTTTTCAATTCAGGAATATCGTGTAAACTTTTCTTCTCCTATAATACAAGAGAAGATGCATAGACAACTCAAGACACTTTTAACATACTTTTTTTAAAACCTGAAACACAACAACTTGCTATATATTTGATTTATTAGTAAAAGAAAATTCAAATTTCAAATACCTACTTGACAGATGTCTCCAAACAGGTGGAACAATCCCTAACATTAAAGTTACTAGAATCTGGTAACTTCCGCAATTTTTGAGCAAAAAACAGGCGTTCTCTCTCTAACACACGGGCCCAATGGATTGCGGTACTTTCTATATTTAGTGACTTATAATGGATCTACAGTGACCTACTGTATAGAGGCAGTTTGGTCATACTTTGGTGTTGTTTTTCTATTGGTATGTGGGATATCCGCCATATTTTAACCAAATAAATCGGGTTGGCGGAAATTAACTTGGAAGATCAAGTCACAAACAGTTGTGGCAATAATATTGTAACCATAGAAAGATGCCAAGATCTACCAATTCAATTAAACCGATCAGCTTAATGAAGAATATGGGAAAAACATGGCGGATATAGAGCATATGACCACACTGTCTTTATACAGTCACTGTTAATGGATCGATATTAATTACAAGGCAAAAATTTTGCGCATGCGCATAGCGTATCGCACATGTGATCAGCTAGCTTCTTCTTTAGCCAGCAAAATAATAGTTTTTTTTTGTTTAAAGGATGCCGCCTGAAAATTTGTTAAAGTGTCCAAAAAGGGCCTATAATCAGCCTATAATTCTGATGTATTTCGTACTTCATTTTTCTAAAATGGCTCTGCTGGCTTGTGGGATCTCATTTTTGCGTCTGTTAACTAAACAATTAGTAAATGAAATCGAAGATGGGACAAGAGAAGGAAATGTGTTACATATGTGTTGTAATGAGGCTTTTGTCGATCGACTTTATTTGTTTTGAGCTAGCTGGAAAGCTGTGTTGTGGGTGGCTTAGTGATCGTTTGCCATTGCTTACAGCATGCACCATTTGAGCATTCGGAGAAATGGCGATTTGTGGATTGTTTACTTAGATCTACGATCCATAACGACTGATATTTAATTTATTATTAAACACAATTTCATTTATTTAAAAAATAGTCAAACGTTCAACATACTTACCGTTAAAGTTTCAATAATTATTTCAGTATGCGACATATTCATTTGACGAGGATGCGAGTAATAGTGCATCATTTGAACAGCTAGCGAGGAAAACAGCTGCGCAACTACTTCGTCCGAGTCACAACCTAGTTTTAACACAGGCTCCGCAACACTTCTTACTAAATAATCGACGTCCTTCTTCTTCTTGTCATCCATCGGATGACCTTAAAAGTGAGACAATTAGCTGCGTTACCACAAGCAATTCACTTACTTGATCCTAACAAAATCAGGACAACGGCGTGTAATAACTCGCATGCCGCTAAACGCATCTTACGGTCACTCGAATATAGGGACAGCTCGACGATTCTCGGTACGAATTTATCGAAGTACAGCGTTAACTTGTTATTGTAAGGAAGGTGTACTTTCAAAGAGGGAGCTTTGTTCCATACGACTGGTTTAGGGTTATCCTTCGGGTTAATAAACGCCATGCATAAATTGGTATTAAGTTGCCCGATTAAAGTAATAATTTTCGTTTGTAGTTTAAATAGTTCCAATTCTGTTTGTACCAAGACCTTCCTTTTGCTAAGCGCCTTCTTTGTTTTCCGGTGCTTTACTACCAAGTTAGATTCTAAGCCTCCTCCCAAAGACCTACTTTTTAAATAAGAATCTAAACAAGGCAAAACCTCCGCCAAAAAGGGCTCGATTTCGATCGCAGGTAAGCTCTTATACCACCTCAGTAAGACATCGACCCCCAAGCCTGCAATGTGCAAGTAACTACGGCCGACCGAAAACAAGACGACAAACGCGGGAACTGCTCTGGGAAGTATTTCCTTTACTATACCAATGGGAGTAGTGAGAAGTACATTCAGGCAAGCAATTTGTAAGTCTCCCTTATACTGTTTCATTTTCCAAAGCATATCTTCGACGAATTGCAGAATGGAATTGTAGCTCATCCTCACATCCTCCATTTCCAACTGGGTCTCATTAAAGTAGTTGAGTTTGTCACAAATTTGTAAACACGAAGTTAGTAGCTTGTAGAAGCCGCTCACGAGAGGATACTGGAGTGACTTATAAATAATCTGATTAACACACTGACTAATCCAACCCTTAAAAATCTCGGGGCTCACGTTGCGTAGGATATCTTGATAAAAATCCACAACGTTAACGAAAACGACAAAGTCACTAGTTTGCAGGGCTTCGAATGCCGATTCTGGATCGGTGACTGGATTATCGGGGTTTTTTAGTTTAGTTTTGAGGTTTAATTTATTGATAAGCACAAAGAGCGTCTTCACGAGTGCGTTGGTTAGTTTTTTGAGGAGATGTTTCCGCTTCGTTAAATCAATCGCGTATTTTTCGTACCTGGTCAAATTCATAACCCCGAGCATACCGTTCCAAAATGGAAGGTAATTCTTATAAGTGATTGCTTCACGATTGGTATCCTTCAACTGTTCCGCGTCCGAAAAAATCTGATGTGAGCAAGTCCATATCACGCCCTGATAGATGATTTCTTCAAGAAACGATTCGAGAACATTTTTTTCGCATTGCAACAGTTGGTGGAACATAACGATGAAGGCGTCCACGACTAAGTAATGCTGCAAAGTCGATAACTGTGGGAACACTTTAATTAGCACGACTGATATTAGTTGAAGACTGACAATGTGACTGTTGTTCAATTCGGGCAAATTGGTAATGATAAAGGATAAGGTTTGCACGTAATGTGGCAAGTACGCAATTTGATCAGGACTCAAATCCTCGGTTAATATGTAGGTATTCTCCAATATTTGTGAAATGGTAACGAAGATGTGGTTGATTTCCACTGCAGAAATATGCAAGCGAAAACAACAGGCAAACAGGCCCAATCCGCGGATTGCCAACTGCATTTGGTAGTTATCCACGGTACCTTCGAAGATAACCTTGTTAAAGTAGGTAAGAAAATATTGAAACAGCTCCTGGTCTTCCCGAGCACTGAGCACGTTCGCGATTTCCTGGAGAAACGACTCCAAAACATTATACGCGGACTTCTTGTCTTCGGCTCCAAGATTGAACCAATTCAAGAATGACGTGTGCCAGAACTTCGCTTCCGGATAAACGTACTGCGAGAACAGTACCACGTGCTTAGCCAAAAGTGACGAAGATTCTAAAACTCAAAGATTATCATCGACTACTTCAGACCCGGGGGACAAACCTCTAAATGCTATTTTTCTGTGTGCGCCACCGGGATCCGCTAACATCTTAAGACAGCTGTAGATCTTGAGAAAAACCGCATCACTATTCTGACTGTTGAACCCGAAATTTTCCAAAAAGTTCGATAGCGCAGCAACGCAACCGTGTATAATCGGCATTGATTTGTTTGTAGTTTGCAGCTCTCTATTCAGGAGATTTACTAGGGTATTTCCTAATTCGTTTGCGTTCGAAATGGCTGATGGAAATTTTTTTGTTACTGCTCCAATTACTATCAAAAGCTCTTCTTGAACTAAAAGAAAAACAAATTATGAGAACCGCGACTTGAAAGCAGAATTAATGATATTTGATTTTGTTTAAATAATTGTTTTGGTAATTGTAAAGATTTTACGTATTAATTTTTTTAAAGTGTCATCTCCGGTCGTTTGCGATAAGAGTCCTTGCGTAAGCTAATTAGTTTCAAGATAGGCACGTGTTATCGCAGGTGTTTTTTCCAAATAAGCAAACACAGGTGTTTAATTTATACCAAGACGCACTAACTTGTTAAGGAAGTGAATTACTTTGAATAGAAGAGACGGACGTTAATCGTGGCTTTTTTGATGGTGGACATTAAATCGTAGCCGTTTGTTTAGGTGTTTGGCGTACTGCCGTTACTTTGTTGGAAAGACGTCGTGATAGAAGTGAATGTTTTAAGTCGAATTAAAGACGTGAAGTTTACGAAGAAGTAGTTGTTTCCCAATACCCATTAAAGGAAGTTTTTCCATCACCAAAGAACCAAATTTTACATCTGAAAAACTTGAAAATCGCAGTAACGATCAGAGATTCTTTAATTGTTCTATCAATCGCTTGTTGCGTGGTATGCGTAATTCTGGCCATGAATGTCGGTTTTTCTTTCAGATTATTTTGTGCCGAATAAATTTGTTTATCTGGAAATGGTCGGTTTTGTGAATAAACGAGCCCAAATTACAACCTAGATAATAGTTTTCAAGTTAAGTTTTTCTATTTGGTACACGAAATTAAATCAGGTGTTAATTAAAAATCTGTTAATTAATTCTTTGGACCGTTAGAGGTTGTTACTTCCTCAAATTAATAAAATTTACATTAGTAGGTATACAACGCCGAACCTAGACCAGTACTAAGTCGATCGCCGCTTTGTTCTAAAGTGGAAGAAGGTGAAGGTCACGTGTCATGTTGCGATGGCCTTGGAAAGGGAAAGCTTTGGTTATAGTATTTAATGTTTTGGGGTGTCAAATTACATTTCTAAGGTCAATGCCTCCATTTTTGTGGTAAAATTATATTTTCAAGGTCATCCAAAGGCCAAAAACACATTCTTTATGACTTTAAATTACATCTTCAAGGTCATCCAAGGCGATGGCCTTTTAAAGGGAAAGCTTTGGTTATAGTATTTAATGTTTTGGGGTGTCAAATTACATTTCTAAGGTCAATGCCTCCATTTTTGTGGTCAAATTATATTTTCAAGGTCATCCAAAGGCAAAGAACACATTCTTTATGACTTTAAATTACATCTTCAAGGTCATCCAAGGCGATGGCCTTGGAAAAGGAAAGCTTTGGTTATAGTATTTAATGTTTTGGGGTGTCAATTTACATTTCTAAGGTCAATGCCTCCATTTTTGTGGTCAAATTATATTTTCAAGGTCATCCAAAGGCAAAGAACACATTCTTTATGACTTTAAATTACATCTTCAAGGTCATCCAAGGCGATGGCCTTGGAAAGGGAAAGCTTTGGTTATAGTATTTAACGTTTTGGGGTGTCAAATTACATTTCTAAGGTCAATGCCTCCATTTTTGTGGTCAAATTATATTTTCAAGGTCATCCAAAGGCAAAGAACACATTCTTTATGACTTTAAATTACATCTTCAAGGTCATCCAAGGCGAATTACTCAAATTTGTGGTGCCAAATTAAATTTCCGAGGCTACCCAAGTTCAATGAACCCATTATGGAGTTAAATTACATTTTCAAGATCATCCAAAATCAATGATTCCTATTTTTGTGGTGGCAAACTACATTCCTAAGGTCATGCAAGGTCAATGACCAGATTTTTGCAGCCCCACTATATTTCAAGGTCATCCAAAAGCGTTATGAAAATTTCTGTCAGATGTCCGTTTACGTACTTACGAATCTTAGTGCTAGATTAGATGCTCTACTAATGAACCAGATACGTATCTGTCGATAAATTTTTAACTTAACGAGATCATATTTATTAATCGATTTTTTCCTGCCGCAAGATCTAGTTAATAAATTTGGCAAAATTACTATCGACACAGCAAAACATGGGAGAGGTCGATCTTGCATTCATCTGTTCTTTCCCAAAAACTATGACAACGTAATACAGGGGGGGTCTGAGGGGTATAGAATGACCGTATGGAAAAATTGGTTTACTTATTTCCAGAGACCAAAGAGAATGAATCATCAAATTGTCCTTTGCTAAGAGCACTCTATACTGGGGGACGTATTCCATACACACAACCATCAGATATGAAATTTTGCAAATCATGTGCATCAAATGGTTATGAAATATTTTTTTTAACAGACAAATGTTGCCTAAAAAATAAATTACTAGCAACTACCTGAATATCCTTTGCTATAATGTCGTACACCTTCTTCTGTAGGAGTTCTTGGATTCGTTAGTACATTGTTGTACGGTAAGTCTAAAGGTACCTGCTGACTTGGGAACATTTTAAGTAAATTGTGCAAATCAGGACGCAGTAACTTATGTACCTACCTGATGAACTTTTATCAAATCTGCTATAAAGACATTTAAACAACGTGTCTTTATATAAAACTGCTATTTCTCTTTCCACATCCTCACAATCTGAAGGAAAGACACCTTTATCGATAATTAAGGTGATCAGCTCCAATGACTTCTCCTTTTCACTGACCGAACAAGACGATCGAACCACAGGAGCGCAAGTTTCTATAATGTCCAATAAGTGTCCCCCAATTTTAACGGGAAAATTACGGACAAGCGTATTTAAAAATTCGAAACAGACTATCTTCACCTTTTTGTACTCGGGTTTATGTAAAACACGTTTTACAAAATTCAAAAGGCCGGTCGTCTTATTGAATATGTTCAAAAAGTACGTATCTGGAAAAGGGTAGTGTTACGAAATTCTATTGGCGGAGACTGAGGTACATACCGATGGTTAAAGCTGGTAGCTCAGTGAGTGTAAATGTTCGATTAATCTGAGATAGGAATTTTTCTGCTTCATTGGGTTGGTTTTTCTCAATGAAAGAGTTTAAACTGTTGCCAAAGGAAAACAGATCTTCCTCCATCTTTGGTAATTAATTTACTGTAAACTTGAATAAGTTCATTAACACAAAACACTATGAAAATCACAAACGAAAAGCACAATTTTTACAAACAGAACTACAAAACGATTTTAAGGTTATGTTTTTTTATTCAAAATCAAAATTGTGTAGGTTAGGTTTTACAACGTTGCCACTTCTTCAATTATGTACAGTATCAAACGATACTAATATTAGTCTTGAGATCATTATGATATTTTCAATTTTCCTTTTAGAGTGCTCTCTTCCAGAACGTTTTCGTGATATTCGAGTTTGTAATTTTGATTCCATTGACATCTCGTGCAGGCCTCCCATTTTCCTTTGAGAGAATCATTTTCCGACACTCCATTTTCGCGATATTCCGGTTCGAAGTTTTAGTCCCCGTGACAGACACATGGCTTAGACCTTTACATGAAATTTCCGAATAAATAAGTAACTATTTTGGCACTTTTGTTAAATTTTTGGCGAATAGGTCATCCTTTGAATTAGAAAAGGATTTGAAGAGTAGAAAATGCATGCTGTACTTCAGATAAGATAATTCCGCGTAAAGTCTGCCTACGTGACTGAAGATAGCATCCTGTAGCGGAGCGTTGATTGCTTTATCGCATTGCCATACTCAGGTACCTAATTGGATGAAACATTCCGATTTGTTTCAAGAGGGAAGTTAACGTCACAAGTAGCATAGTATGGCCGGTTCAAAATCAATGTCACTGGAAAGTCAAACGTAGACGTGGGTTTGAAACTCTGCTAAATCAATGTCACTGGAAGGTCAAACGTAGACGTGGGTTTGAAACTCCGCTAAATCAATGTCACTGGAAGGCCAAACGTAGACGTGGGTTTGAAACTCTGCTAAATCAATGTCACTGGGAGGTCAAACGTAGACGTGGGTTTGAAACTCTGCTAAATCAATGTCACTGGAAGGTCAAACGCAGACGTGGGTTTGAAACTCTGCTAAATCAATGTCACTGGAAGGTCAAACGTAGACGTGGGTTTGAAACTCTGCTGAATCAATGTCACTGAAGGTCAAACATGAATCAAGGTCAAACGGTTTGCCAAGTAGGGGTTCTTGTCGAAACTAAAGAGGTTCTGAGCGGTGATAGCTGTCTTCAAGGTCATTCTGTACTAGGTTCGATTATAAATAAGACGTTAATGATGTGGTGGGAGGATGGATACTTATACCGGGTGATTCATTAGAAGTGATGATCATTTGAATTTCGAGCGTAAGGTTGTAGTATTTTTTGCATTATTAGATTGACGGTTTGAATTTCGTTAGGCATTTTTTTCTGTCATGACTGTCATTTAAGAAACCAGTGTCGCCGTTAATTGTTGTGTGCCATTTGCGGTTTATTACTTTTTCCATTTTGGACAATTTTTGGAGTTGATGCACTAAAATATGTAAGAAACGTGACTGTGTCTAGTGTTAGTTTATAATTTGTGGTAAAACAGAAGCAGTATTTGAAGATTATAAATAAGTAAACGATTTACTGAAAGCATGATGATACACCACTGCAATTAAATAAATGATCATCAGTTAGTACCAACTTCATAATTTATTTGATTTGCGGGAAATTCAAATTGTCCTCACTTCTAGTGAATCACCCGGTATAAGCTTCTGTGTGTTCGTTACAAGGTATACATGTATTAAAAATGTCGTGGATGGCTTATGCTGCAGAATCATGGACCAAAGCTGTCGATTTTATGACGGCAGTGAGACGCCTGAAGCAGCATTTTTCGGCATTAATATTTGATGCAGAGCACGAGGCGATATATGGAAAAGGTGAATATAGCCCAGAGGAGTGCCTAAGCTATTGCCAAAAAGTATGAGTTAGGTGAAGCAATATGCGATAGTTACTTAAGCTATAAAATATGTGACGAATGTATTATCCGGAAACTAAGGGATGCAAAGTTGGAGCATTTTAGTCAAGAGTTACAAGCGTGGAAGAATGAAGAATCATCAGCATCCTCTTCCGGTGAAGAGTGTTAGTTTCGATGAATCCAATAATAAAACGTACATAATGGTGGCATGGCATTTTGCTTATTGGGCAGCAAGGAAAGTACCTATGTCTTCAGATCGTGAGCGGGTGCAGGTCAACAAGCGCTGAAACACTCCACATACGTCGTATGATTCCACAGATCAAGGAATCGGACGAAAGGAAAAGAAATGGTATAGACTTCTACCTCTCGCAGGTACTGTCCGGATACGTTTCTTTTTCTCATTCTTACACAGGATGGAATACGAACGAAAACACTGATGCTGGTATTGCAATTGCAAGGAGGACACTCGCGAGCAGACTCTGTTAAGATGTCCCGAATGGAATGGGGAACGGTTGATTCTCTTCAATAAAATTATAGAATGGCCTGAAGTGTAAATAATATGCGACTATCGGAAAGAAATTAGGAGGAAATAAGAGAATTCTGTAGAACAATACGAAAATATGTGGTTATACTTACAATTACACTGATATAAAAAATAATAATGTCTCGTAACGTTTTCTTTGTGATACCCTTTATTAGGGACATTCTTATCAACGTATGAATTTATTAATTTTGCCCACTCTGTATATCTAATTTTCATCTTATGCGATAACTTTTTAGATCTGGCAATGTAGCACAGCTCATCTGACATAACCAAACTTTTAAATGTAAACCTAACCTAACATTTTTTGTGGGTTTTTCGGATTAAAGTTAATTATTTGCTCACAATGTTAAAAGTTCTACCCATACTCCCTCATATATCAAGAAGACTAATTACCACAGGATCACAACTACTTTGGCACGTACCGGAGTGCCCAGAACTAGATTTGAAGTACCTGTGCAATTAGAACATTTAGATGAAATTAATAGCAACATAAAAGCCCGAAAAGGCGTTGGCGATATAAGTCTCGTTTTAAAACTTAAAGAAAACCTAAGCAATCTCACATCCGTTGACCACAATTACGAAAAAGTTCGCAGACAATTTTATGACGAATTACTGAAAATTCCAAACCGTACTCACCCATCGGTCGCGCATCTCAACGAACCAATAACAGTCAGCACCACTGGGGAAAAGAAAACCTTCGATTTTAAGCCGAGAGAGTTTTACGAAATATGTAAACGTCTAAACTTCGTTCGAACAGATCAGCTGGGCAATGTGGCGGGTAGTCGAAGTTATTATTTACTCGGCGACATGGCGGAACTGGAGAAGGCGCTTATCAGTTATACTGTGTCGCATTTATTGGATGAGAACTTTGAGCTGGTGTCGGTTCCGGATATTTTGCATCGCGATATTATCGAAGCGTGTGGGTTGAATACGCACGGAGATCGAACGCAGGTTGGACGGATCGCGTAATTTTGAACACTACTCTGTAATTTGTAGGTTTACAGTTTGGACTCGGAAATGTTCGGGCCTGATTTGTGTTTGTCCGGTACGTCGGAGATGGCTTTGGCGGCAATGTACGCCAACGAGGTGATACCTGCCGGTCGTTTACCCGTGAAGCTGGCGGCCGTTAGCCGATGTTATCGAGCCGAAGCATCCAGCGTGGCGGAGGAACGAGGAATCTATAGGTAACGTGCCCCTTGTGCTAGAAAGAAGCTAACCGGTTGTTTAGGGTTCATCAATTCACCAAGGTGGAAATGTTTGCGATCTCGAAGCCCGAGGACTCCAACGGCATTTTGGAGGAGTTTCGATTAATAGAGGAAGGGAATTTCGCCTCGTTGGGCCTTCATTTGCGCACCTTAGACATGCCGCCGAATGAGTTGGGGGCACCCGCTTATCGAAAGTACGACGTTGAAGCGTGGTTACCTGGCCGAAATATGTATGGTGAAGTATCTAGTTGTAGTAACTGCAC